TTAATTTGATTATTACCATTCCAAAGTCTTCCTAAATTTTAATTTTCCTATAAGCTAATTTCTTACTCGGCATTTAAACATTTTATTGTCATAATTTTATTTTTTTTTGGCATTCTTACAACAAATCAAAGTTTTCTACATTTTCAAAAGATTTTAATAAAATTCTCCCTTCTTAATTAATATAAATTTAATTAATTATTTATTTCTTCTTCATTTATTCCATTTAATTTTTATGTTAATTCTACGATTAAAAAAAATTTTTCCTACTTTTTTATTCTTTTTTAATTTTCTCTTTTGTATTCTCGCAATTTGTTTTTAATTCTCTAAATTCTCAATTTCTTCAATTAATTAATTTTAATTTTCTTAATTTTCTTATAAATTTTATTTAAATTATCACTATACAAAATTAAATCTGTTTATCTCAATTATTATAATTCTTAAATTATTGTAATTTAATGTCATTTTCATCTATAGAATAATCTATTTCTTAAATTTGAGATTGGATCATCTCCAATTATTTTTTTTTTCTATCTATTATTAATTGGATTCATTCATTTCTGCTTATTAATTTTTCTAATTTTAATTAAATATAGAGATTATACTATTATTTTCTCTTTTTTTATTCTGAGCTCTGGAATTTGTTGCTATATTTTATTTTATAATTCTTCAATATTGTATCTCATTTTAGCCAATTTCAAAAAGGATGAATTTAGGCATTGCTAATTTTTATCATAAAAAACATATTTCATCATTTCAGTTTCTTTTTAATCTTTTTAAATTTATTTTTCATATATTTAATTGCAGATTTTGAGCACTCAAAATTTATTTTCGTTCTTTTAAATATCTTTCTCAATTACGTTTATTCTATCCCTTTTTTCTCCTTCTTAATCCTTATTTTTTATTTATGAAATATTTATTTGCAAATTATTTATTTGATCATTTAAAGGTTGGTTAAGTTGTTGAGATATTTCGATATGAATTTGAATTGTTTACAGAGCAAGTGGCATAAATTACATTTTACTAAGCAAAATTCATACTAATTCATTTAATCTACTAAGAAACTATGTAACTTAGACATGTTGTTTTTAATTATTATTTAAACTTCTGGATTTAAAATACACTATCTTTTTAAGAATGTTAAAAATAAAATTCAGATTAACTAATTTAATTTTGATGTTTAAAAAAGTTTATTATTTACTTTACTACTTGTCTCTTAAATTTTTCTTTATATAATTTGTTATTTCCTAAACTCCATCATTTAATTAAACTATGATTTTGCTTCTAGAAGATTTTTATTATGAGTTTAGATTGAATCCTCTAGATCTTTATAGAGTTATTTTAGATCATCTTTAAAAATTAGAATACATTCATGATCATTAAATTTTTGGAATTTATATTAGCTTTGATCTAACTTCAAAATTTAATATTTAACTTAATTAAACCAAATTTCTCCATAATTCCTTACTCTCCTCAAAATTTTTTTCTATTTTTATTTTTAGTTATATCAAACTTGCATTTGTATTATCAGACAATTCCAACTAGCATAACAATATTTTCATAATCTAAACTAATTCTATTCCATTCTTCCAGCCATTTGTATTTCTAGAGTTATCTAAAAAGTATTATCTAACAATAATAAGTTATTTATCAAATTATTAGTTTTCATTATTGACTAAATAATCTCTTTAAAAATATTACATCTTATGATCCACCTTCTTTTAGTTGTTCAAGATTTTTTAATAATTCTTACTTAATCACTTTATTATCATTTGAACTTACATCACTTATAACAAAATATACAATTCCTTTAAATAACTTTTCATCTTTCAATTACTTTGATGCTTCAACTAAATGTTTGAACAGATCTTCATAATGTCTATCAAAATTTTTCTCACAATTTAAGATTGTAATATAACATAATGCAGTAAAAATGCTAACATTTTTATTTCTTCTTTATCAGTCCTAATTCCTTTAAATAATCCTTCACAATATATACTAAAATTTTTAATCTTCTCTATATGCAATACTTCCCCAAACACCATCAGTAAATCTAGCTGATAAAACTGAGAAGTGAGTACTAAATACTCTATTTAGTAAATAACTTTTGCCTGATGATTATCTTCCTATTTTTCCAACCACAAATATTTTATTATTATAATTCGTCAAATGATCTTCCAAAAATCCTAAATGTAATTATTTTTAACTTTTTAATCCTTCGTTATTCTAGTTTAAAGTTAAGATTGCTGTCTAAATCCATAATTTAGAGGTATTTAGTTGCTATTTTCAATTGTACATAACTATAAAGGAACTATAGAATATATAATATTTATTATTTATTCACTTTTAAATTCTGTACATTAAATCTTTGAAAAACTTAGAATGATTTCATTCATATTCATTATATTTAAATAAGGTTCTATAATATCATAATATTCTTTATTAATATATATATTAATTTTACTCTTTTTTTCTTTGAATAAAAATTGAGAGTTTGGTCCAAATTTAATTAAAGAGATTTCCGATAGCTTTTTTTTCTTAATTTTCTTATTTATTAATTTTTTTAAAGAAACTAAATAACCTATGATTTTTGCTTTTGTAACAATCTTATTTTTCTTTTCTTTTGATAGTCCAATAACTATAACATCTGAAAAATCAGCAAAAAATTTTGAAGATTCCTTGCATTTCTATGCTGTCTATTCTCATACAATTGAGATTGTATCTATCACAACAATAATTGTTGGCAAGATAGAAGTATTTCCACTAGGACAGGTGAGTAATTAAATATAAAATTTCTCTGGTTTAATGCTTTGTTTGAAATCTATAGGTTTTGTGGTATTTTCAAATTACTCAATACATTTAAAATATTAAAAATCTTGTCCTTGATCTTTTTATTTATAGTTTCTTGAGAAATCTAAAATTTTTTCCCATTTCCTGTTAATAGAAATGATTTTTCACTCTTGATTACTCCATGTACTTTTATGATTATTTGATATTCATAGTAAATTTTGAGATTAAAAATATACAAATGTCCTCTATTTAAATCATAGAAGTACACAGCTTATTTTTCTAAATTTTATACATTCCTATTTTAAAATGAATTTTGCGATTAAAAATAGATGTTGATTTAAGATTTTCCTAATTACCATTTTTAATAATATAAAGAGAAACTTCTTTTAATCTAGAATCAAGATTATTTTAGATTAAATCAATTTCCAAAAATTCTAAAATACTCTTTCATTAAGAGTATAATAATAAATCTTATTTATATCTTAAAACTTATCAATATTTATAATTTTAATAAACTCGAGATTTTTCAATTTATAAATGATTATATTATAAATAATCTAAGAATGGTCTCCTTACTAGAAAAATAGTTATTATAGTTGTTTTAAATTAATTAATGTTTAAGACATGAACATTAACCAGCAACATAGTTAATGATCTGAAGAACTTTTTTATAATGCAGATATCAGATTAACATAAGATCCAAGTTAAAAGTGACGGGGGAGAATTTTTGAATAAAGATTATCAAGTGTTAGTTAAAGATGTTTCTTATAGACTATTTAATAATTGAATTACTACTTCCTACACTTCTCACAATTGTTATGAATACACTCTAATTAATAAGAGGTTGATGAAAGCATCCCTATACTTCGATCTTGAGTACTCTAGATAATTCTCCAAGAGTCTAAATCATAGCTGCTTTGCTTTTAAGACGATATAATTTAAGGCTTGCTGGGCTTTTTTACCTTATCTTTTTAATTAAATCGTCTTGTTGATTTTGGAAACTATTATTGTTTTTGAATTAAATTCAAACTCTATTTTCAATTAAAAAACTAATAACTTTTTGTAAGATTATTGTCTTAAGCAAACCTACTGATAGGATATTTCGATTCTATATATCACTATTTAATA